CCTGTGATCTTCATTCTAAAGTGGATTCCTGTCTTGGTTGTATGATGGCTGCCTGCAGAAATTGCAGCTTTGTTTTTTCTATTAATTGGCTTCTCAAGCTTCTTTCTTCAAATGAAGTAGAATATTCCTAGAAGTCTGGTAAAATCCTCTTCATCTCTTGTTGGTATGGCTGGGTCACATGCCTATTTCCCTCCTTTCCCTTTTTTTTTTCTTTTTTTTACTTGAAGTTTAACTTTTAATTCCAGTTAGTTAACATAGAGTCTTATAATCACATGCTTATTTTTAAGTCAATTTTCAACAAAAAGAATGGGATTACCGCTAGACCGAAATCAGGTTGAACCCAGAAGCTGAGAGTAGAAATCACAGTCTCCTGAGGTTTTTGGCTATGTGGAGGAGTGAGTATCTGAAGAAAATTTGGAATTTGTTAGGGAGAGAATGAGGAGGATAGATGCTCTCTAGGCAATAATATCAGTCAGGATTTTGTTAGGAAAATATACTCCTCTAGAAATTTCAAGCAGAGCAAGATTAACTTAGCAAATTAAGCCACAAAAATCATAGGAAGGGGCAGAAGAGGAAAAAACCCCGAGGGGGGTAAGATGGGTTAGTCAATATTCAGGAATTCCAGGAAGATGCTCCTGGCCCTGTAGGAGAGCACACCTGTCTAAGCCTGAATTCCCCTGAACCTGTGTTCTTCTCTTCCTGCAGACCCAGTGCAGTTGTTATAAGGGTGGTGCTGCTGGTGTAGCCAAAGCCAGGTGTAGCTCTGGCTTCCTTCTTCCCTTCAGTCTTTTTTTATAAAATAGATTTATTGAGATATAACTTATATATCATGCAATTGAACAATTTTAGGTATGCAAAATGTATGATTCACTGGCTTTAGTATATTCACAGAGCTATGCATCCATCACCATCATTGATTATAGAACATTGTCATTATTCCTAAAGAAAAGCTTTCTCCTCAGATAGCATCCCTCCTATCCCACTCTCCCAATCCCTCTTTTCATCCTCCCCCCAACCCCTCCAGCCCTCCACCCTACACAAAAACTAATCTACTTTTTGTCTCTGTAGATTTGCCTATTCTGGACATTTTTTTCATGTAAATAGATATTTATAATATGTGTTCTTCTGGGATTGTATTCTCTCACTTAGAATAATGTTTTCAAGGCTCATTCACATTGTAGCATTGATTGGTACTTCATTTGTTTTTATTGCTGAATTCTCTTCCAGTGCATGAATACACCACATCTTATCTCTCCATTCATCAGTCAGTGGACATTTGAGTTGTTTCCACTTTTTAGTTGTTAGTTAAGCTGCCATGAACATTCATGTACAAGTTTTTGATGGAATGTATATATGTTGGGCATAGACTTAGGGGTGGAATCCCTAGGTCAAGTCGTAAATCTAAGTTTAACCTTTTGAAGAAATACTAAACTATTTTCAAAAGTGGTGGCACCATTTTATATCCCCACCAGCAATGTGTTAGGGTTCCATCATTTCTCTACATCCTCACCAGTACTTGTTATTATATGTATTTTTGATGGTAAGCTTTCCTACTGAGTATAAATTGGTATCTTATTGTGGTTTTCATTTGCATTTCCCTGACGGCTAATAATGCTGAGCATCTTTTCTTGTACTTATTGGCCATTTGTGTATCTTTTTGGAGAAATATCTTTTCAGGGTCTTAGCCTGTTTTTAGCTGTATTATTTGTCTTTTTATTATTGAACTGTAGCAGTTTTCAATATATTCTAGATACAAGTCTCTTACTTGATAAATGATTTGCAAGTGTTTTTCCCTCATATAGTGGATTGTCTTTTCACTTTTTGGTAACATTTATTGGTGCATAAAAGTTTTAAATTTTGATGAAGTCCAATTTATCTGGTTTTTTTTCTTTTGCTGCTTATGCTTTTGGTGTCATATATAAAAATGCATGCAGAATTTAAAATCATGGTGGTTCACCCCTACATAGTCTTGTAAGAATTTTATGGTTTTATTTCATAGACTTAGGTCTACTGGGAAATGTAGCCTCTATGAGAAGACCTTAGAGGAGGTGGGAACCAGCCCATAGTATGTAGCAAATAACTAAACATCAGCCTTTGTGAGGATTTTCTGTCTTTTTGGAGTCTAGACAGAAAGCAGGCCACAAGTCTCCTTTTATTCAAAGATCCTAAATCTGTCTAGCATCATTTTGTCACCCTTAGAACTTGAGAGATGTAGAGAATATAGGGCCCAACTCACTTTATTCTATTTTTCTCTTCTGTGTTCTTCCTTCTCCTCAGTCCAGGAAGTTCTAAAATTGAGTCTAAGAGAAACTCAGCTATCTATTTTTTCAGATAGTTCTGTTTCACGTGCTTTTGTTCTGAAGAGCTATCTTTTGCTTTTAAAAAAAAAGAAAAAATCTTAAAGGTACAAGAGATTATTTTAGATACACTATTAGACCATAGAAAGCAGCATTTTCCCTGACAGATTGGCAATATGGTTTCATGAATGTGACAGAGACAGGGATGAGACTTTAGGAGGAGATGAGTAATTATAGATAAGGTGCTAAAATTAATAGGTAAGCAGGACATTGATGCCTTTGCTGGAGATTTCCAGTTATGACTATACAGTATTAGGGGCAGCTTGGCAATGATTTTACAACTGTATTCTGTAATAAATCATAGCATACTAATATAGACTGAATTGTTTAAACATCTTGGAGACTTTAATTTATTCAGCTTAAGAGATTAGTTGAAGGGAAAAAAATAATGGAAAGTAAGCTGTAGGATTGCTTTTCCTGAATTCTAAATTTAGCTTACATGTATTTCTAATCCTCTATGCTAGGGATATTTTCTTGGAAATTGTATAATCTGATCACCTTTATTAATGCAAGGTTTTAGATGGGCATAAACATGCTTACTGTATTTTACTGTGTCAATTTTTAGCCTAGGTAATCCTGTAAATGATGAGCTAATTATATTCTGTGTGATTATCAAGCTACTTAACTTAAATCTAGTATGATTATAAAAGGCAAGTAAATCTTCCGTGCCAATAGAGGAGAGTCTACACAGTTACATTTAAGAAGACAAAAGAAACTGCACCATATGACCAAAGCCTGTGCAAGATTAAATCCCCATTATATGGATGACAGAAAATAGAAAAGAATAGAGTGTGAAGAGCAACACAAATTCACAGCCATCATTTTGAGTCCATATTATCTTCAAAGACAAATATGATTGCTCCCTGAATTGATTGTCTTATAAAACTAGATGGGGACCATTCTATCACCCGTTGTAGGAAATGCCCATCTTTATTTTTAATTAAATTGGAATTAATTTTTATTAAGGTTCACATTGTATCTGGGTATAAATGGAAAACTTAAGTGATCAATAGGGAAGGAAAGGAGTATGAGGACTCAAGAGTACGACATTGTTTCAGCTCCCAGGGAAAATTTAAAAAAGGGAACTAGCATATTCAAAATGTTTCTCATATGCACATCATACTATCTCATTTAGTCTTGACAACAGTTCTAAGAGGAAGGCATAACTATCCCAGTATACCTAAATGTGGACTCTGGATCACAGCTACATTAGGATCCAGTTTGTCTAATTCCAAATTCTGTGCTTTCTTGGTTATTAAGTTTTGATAGCACCCTTTCAGGTACAAAAGACAGAAAGAAATACTATCCTAATTGGCTTAGGAAAACCAAGGAATATATCCGCTTGTAAAACTCATAGAGACCTGATCCTCCTCCTTCAACATTGTCTACTGCAGGCATGGTTGGATCTAGGGGCCAAGAGGAATTCTTTCTCTCTGTCTCATTTCATACTTTTCTTTGTGTTGTTCTTGCTATCAGGCAGGCTCTCAGGAGCTCCAGTTTCAATCTTTAAAGCTTTAATCACATGGAAAAAAAGATTCCTTTTCTAAGTTGGAATAAGAATTCCAGTATTGAATTTTACTGTCCTTGTTTGGTCTAACTTACTCTTAACTACACACTATAAATATTTGAAAGGAAAGTGAATGTACAAGGTTGGCTACATCAGGAAATGTGGCTTATAATTCTTAAGCCTTATGTATATGTTTTAAAGGTGCAGATACAGAGTGCAGAATAACTCTACTATTTGAGTTTTTTTAAATGTGGATCATGAATATAACCAGATAACTATAGCAATTGGTGCTGATCATGAAACTTCCTGAAGTGAACAAAGGCCTTTATTTCTCTGCTATTAAAAAGGTTTTATTCACACTATAAACTCAGACATACAGCCTTTTTCAAATCTGTATGAAAATAAGTTACATAGCCTGTTAAAAAGTATGTATTTGAAAAGGAGGAAGGCCAACTATCAGATACCTGCTGTGTACAATCAGAACATAGGTACATTATATCTACCTTAAAAAAAAAAAGATTTATTTATTTATTTTAAAGAAAGTGTGGGGAGAGGGGCAGAGGGAGACAGAGTGAGAAACCCAGGCAAACTCCATGCTGAGTGCAGAGCCCCACATGGGGCTGGACTTTGTGGCCCCAAGATCCGACCTGGGCCAAAATCAAGAGTTGAATGCCCAACTGATGGCACCACCCAGGCACCCCACATTATATCCATGTTTATGTTAGACAAATGATTCAGTGGGCACTAGCCACATGTGGCTATTTTATCTTTAAAAAGATTTTATTTATTTATTCATGAGAGACACACGGAGAGAGAAGAAGAGAGAAGAAGGCTCCCTGTGGGGAGCCTGATGTGGGACTTGATCCCTGGACCCAGATCACACCTGAGCTGAAGGCAGACGCTCAACCGTAGAGCCACCCAGGCATCCTTCTTAAATGAGACTTTTAAAAATAGTTACTGAGATAATCTTCTGGAATCTTAATGGGTCATTTCTTTTAACACTTAAATCTTTTATCTGTTAGTAATTTGTTTTGGCATAATGGACAAATTAAAGATTACTTCTATTTTTAGATAGTTAAATGGTAATGAGTATTTGCTTCCCTAAATTCATTCACAATTTTTTTTTTTTTTTCTAGAAAGAGCTCCTGATTTTCGTTTAGAGATCCACCTCCCTTTCATTTTCTGCTTGTGTGTTTTGGGTAGTGGAGTGTCACCAGACTAATATGGCCAGAAGAGGTGAGGAACTTTCCCACAATATTCAAATGTTTGTTTTCAAAATTCAAAGGATTGTTAATTTGAAACTTTGAGAGTAGAGTAAGTTTGTTAGAGTGTATGGTGAAGGAAAAACAATGAGAAGTTGTAACCCATGTCATCATAGAGGATTGGGTTTACCTGCCATTGCTAAGAATTAACTTCTCATGATGTCATATTACCTAGCAAAACTTCTCAACCAGTGGGTCACCCACTGCCCTAAGGGTGGCTGAGCAGGCTGGGTCACCAGAGGAGCCTTCCAAAGGGCTTGCTTATCCCAATAAGGCATATAAACATAAGTATCCTCTTTTTAAAAAGATTATTTATTCATTCATTCATTCATTCATTCGAGACAAAAAGAGAGAGGCAGAGACACAGGCAGAGAGAGATAAGCAGGCTCCATGCAGGGAGCCTGATGCAAGACTCGATCCCAGGTCCCTGGGACTACGACCTGAGCTGAAGGCAGATGCTCAACCACTGAGCCACCCAGGCGCCCCAACATTACTACCCTCTTAATGTATTACGAAAAAGCGATGAAGTGCTGCATTTTAGTAAAACAACTTTATGTTGATTTAATGTGAATTGATATTCCTGAATTTGAAAGCTCCAAAGTGAATTGATGTAGAAGAAGTGTCAGGAAAGACTCTTTGGGGATAGTTGGTCTTTACTTGTGTGACTATATCATGGCCATGTAAAGCTACAAATCTCAGGATATAATATTAATATTCTAGAGGGTTATGTTAGATAAATAACAAAGGAGGCTGATAAAAATTCCCTGTGTTTTCAGAAAAGTTAAAGGGTTTGAGTAATTAATTCTTTATCTTCCTCTCTTCCTTTATTTTATTGCAAGAGTGGGATAGTTATAATCTGAGAGATAAGATGGAATCCCCTGAGAGCCATATTTGTGTGACTCTGTGGTTTGGGCAAATGTGTTAAATGAATGAAAGAAATTCATGTTGAGAACTTTCTGCTCTTAAAATAATTTTCTACTTAAAAAGATAACTTCCAGGTATAAAATAAAAATCCTCTACTCAATTATAAAACTTATTTTTAAAATGTATTCACTATTATTGAGACATTAGCATGCACAAGGACATCACTTTGTGCTTGAGATATATAAATAAAATAGACATCCCTGCCCTTGAAAAGCTTATATTCTAGTGGGGGAAAAGACAATAAACAGTAAACAATAAGATATCAACCAATAAACATAATGAATAAGTGAGTTATATAGGATATTAGAAGGATAATTAATATTAGAAGCAATATTAAAATATGGAACATTTTAATGGAGATTAAGTATGCTGGGGAGCAAGAATGAGTTGCAGTATTTGATAGAAAGTCTCACTGAGAAGGCACAATTTGAGTTAGAAATGGAGATGATGAGCACTGGGTGTTTTTTTGCAACTGATAAATTACTGAATACTACATCTGAAACTAATGATATACTATATGCTGCCTAATTGAATTTAAATTAAAAAAAAAGAAATGGAGAAGATGAAACAGCTAGCCACACATTCTAGGGAGAGGGAATAACATGGGACCCACGGGGGAATAATACCTGGTATTTTTGAAGAAAAGAAAGGAGATCAGTATATCTGGAGTGGAGTGATCAAGAGGACAGCAGAATATATAAAGAACTCTTAAAATGTAACAAGAACAATCCAATTAAAAAAAAGGTGAAGAATTTGAATAGAAAAATTTCCAAAGAAGATATAAATTACCAATAGCACATAAAAAGATTCTCATAGTCAAAAACTGCAAATCAAAACCTCAATGACATACTACTTCACACCTATAGAATAGCTACTATAAAAAAAAAGGGTGGGGGGGGGAATAACAAGTGTCAGCAGAATATGGAGATATTGGAACCCCTGTGGATTGTTGGTGGGAGTGTAAAATGGCACAGTCACAGGGAAAACAGTATTGCGGTTCTTAGAAAAATTAAAAATAGAATTACCAAATGATCCAGCAATTCCATCTTTGGGTATTTATCCTAAAGAATTGAAAGCAAAGTCTCTAAAAAATATGTGTAAACCTATGCTCATAGTAGCTCAAAGAGCTAAAAAGTGGAATTCACCCAAGTTTCCATCCACAGATGAATGGTTATCAAAGTATGAATATAGATGTAGTAATGCCATTTAGCCTTAAAAAGGAAGGAAATTCTTAAAATTGTATTTCTTTGGTGTTGGTTGTGATCTCTCCTCTTTTATTTGTGATTTTATTTATTTACGTCCTTTCTCTTTTCTTTTTGATAAGTCTGGCCGGGAGCCTATCAATATTATTAATTCTTTCAAAGAACCAGCTCTTAGTTTTCTTGATCTCTTCTACTGTTCTTTTGGTTTCTATTTCATTAAAAACAATTATAAGAGCATATTATGAGCAACTATATGCTAACAAATTAGTCAGTATGGAAGAAATGCATGCATTTCTAGAAATATATAAACTACCCAAACTGAAACAGAAAGAAATAGAAAATCTGAACAGACCTATAACCAGCAATTGAAGCAGTAATAAAAACCTCCAAACAAGCAAGAGTCCAGGGCCAGATGGCTTCCCAGGGGAATTCTACCAAACATTTAAAGAAATACCTATTTTTTTGAAGCTGTTTTTTAAAAAATAGAAAGGGAAGGAAAACTTCCAGATTCTTTCTATGGGCTGGCATTACTTTGATCCCCAAACTAGACAAAGACCCCACCAAAAGGAATTACAGACCAATATCCTTGATGAACATGGATGCCAAAATTTTCACCAAAATACTAGCAAATAGGATCCAATAGTACATTAAAAGGAATATTCACCACGAACAAGTGGGATTTATTCCTGGGCTACAAGAGTGGTTCAACATCTTCAATCAATGTGGTACACTACATCAATAAAAGAAAGGACAAGAACCATATGATTCTCTCAATAGATGCAGAAAAAGCATTTGACAAAGTACAGCATCTTTCTTGATTAAAACTCTTCACAGTGTAGGGATAGAGGGAACGTTCCTCAATATCATAAAAGCCATCTATGAAGAGCTTACAGTGAATATCATTCTCAATAAGAAAAAATTGAGAGCTTCTTCCTAAAGTCAGGAACACATCATCACTGCTATTCAACATACTACTGGAAGTCCTAGCCTCAGCAATCAGACAACAAAAAAATTTCTTTTTATTATCTAAACAGGCAAAGAAGTTAAATTCTTACTCTTTGCAGATGATGTGATACTCTCTATGGGCAACCCAAAAGACTCCACCCCAAAATTGCTAGAACTCATACAGCAGTTCAGCAAAGTGGCAGGATATAAAATCAATGCACAACAATGAGTTGCATTTCTATACGCTAACAATGAGACAGAAGAAAGAGAAATTAAGGAGTCAATCCCATTTACAATTGCATCCAAAACCATAAGATACCTAGGAATAGACCTAACCAAAGAGGCAAAAGATCTGTACTCAGAAAACTATAGAAGTCATGAAAGAAATTGAGGAAGACACAAAGAAATGGAAAAATGTCTCATGCTCACAATGGAAGAATAAATTTTGTTAAAATGTCTATGCTACCTAGAGTAATCTATACATTCAATGAATCCCTATCAAAATACCATCAACTTTTTTCACATAAGTAGAACAAATAATCCTAAAATTTGTATGGAGCCAGAGAACACTCCAAATAGCCAATGAAATGTTGAAAAAGAAAACCAAAACTGATAGCATCACAATTACAGACTTTAACCTATATTACAGAGCTCTAATCATCAAGACAGTATGATACTGGCACAAAAACAGATACATAGATCCATGGAACAGAATAGAGCACCCAGAAATGGACCTCAACCTTATGGTCAACTCATCTTCAACAAAGCAGGAAAGAATATCCAATGGAAAAAAGATAGTCTCTTCAACAAATGATGTTAGGAAAACTGGACAGCCACAGAATGAAAACTGGACCATTTCCTCACACCATATACAAAAATAGACTCAAGATGGAGAAGACAGCCGCAGAATGAAACTGGACCATTTCCTCACACCATACACACCATATACGAAAATAGACTCAAGATGGAGAAAGACCTAAATGAGACAGGAATCCATCAAAATCCTAGAGAGGAACACACACGACAACTTCTTTGGTCTTGGCCACAGCAACTTTTTGCTAGACATGTCTCCAAAGGCAAGGGAAACCAAGGCAAATTGAACTATTGGGACTTCATCAAAAATAAATAGCTTTTGCACGGCAAAGCAAACAGTCGATAAAATCGAAAGACAACTGATATAATGTCCATTCTATTGGGACATTCAATCTGTCTTTCCATTCTGTCTTCACTTGTCTCCAAATAGACTTTTTGTTTTTTAAGACTTTATTTATTTATTCATGAGAGACAGAGAAAAGGAGAGGCGGAGACATAGGCAGAGGGAGAAGCAGGTTCCCTGTGGGAAGCCTGATGTGGGACTTGATCCCAGGACCCCAGGATGTTGACCTGAGCCAAAGGCAGACCCTTAACCACTGAGCCATCCAGGCAACCTCCAAATAGACTTTCAGTCTACTACTCCACTATAGAGGGATACTCCAGACATAGTATGTGTAAAATCTACCAACCTAGTGTAATTACAACCTGTGTAATACATGTACATGGAATTGATCTGATGCAAGAGGGTTTTATTGAATCAAATCTACTTCCCAGGGCCCTGGTTAATCAATACGGAATGGTCTGATCAATTTGCGTATTTTCACTATTTCTACTATTTTCAGGATAAAATAGGAATAATTTATGAATATTTACTTTTAATTTGATAATGTATTTTGGCCGAGAAAGTTTTTACATTGATTATTATACAGTATTAGAAAAATACATACCTTTTCTTTCACAGATACTTAATTAAATTATTGTAATTGTGAACAAATGATTGTTTTAACATGAGAATATATAACTTTTTCCCATAAATCTTCCCCTCTTTTGTTAAACATGAGATAGTTATTTCATAAACCAGGATGACAGT